TCGCCGTGGTTGTCAGCCGGGGAGAACCTGGACTCTCCGCGCTCTCGCGAGAAGTTCGCCGCCGCCGGGAGGTGGGGGTGCCCGAGCACGCGCGGGCCTTCGAGAGGCCGAAGATGGGGGGTTGCGCCTTGAAGTGTCAGCTGCTGCTGCTGGCCCTCCTCCTTCAGCCCTGGAGTCCCTGCTTAGGTGCAGACTCGGAGAAGCCCTCCAGCATCCCCACAGGTGAGCACTCCCGCGGTCAGCACCCGTCTGGTGAGGTTCGCTGGGGGCAGTCCATTCATCCTTCAGCTCTTGATGCTGGCCTTGCCAGGTGAGTAGGTGGGTAGCCCGTCCCTCCCCAGCACCGCAGGGGTCAGTGGATACTCTGTGCTCCCCAGGCCCTCCAAGGTGAGTGAGACGGACTGTTCCTCCCCCCCAGACCGCGTAGGACCCCTCCAGAGCCGCTCTCCGCGTTGCTGGTCCCTGGGGCAGAGTAGGGGTGCCCGCCCTTGCTGCTCCTGGAGTTCCCAGTAACCTGAGCGCAAGAATTTTTATACTGCAAGTCGGGATTTCCTTTTGGTCTTGCAGGTCCCTAGGCACCAACACCTTTCCTACAACTCTCCTCTTCCTCCTTTCCTGGAGGTGCATGATTTATCCGTGTTGGACGAGGCAGTACTTCTTCCCTGACCTAAACAGTGTACTTTCTGATTGATGGTGACACATTCCTTCCAAGCGCCCCAGTAAGAAGCCGGTAACACATAACCTCTTGCCAAAAACAACGCTCAAAACTGGTTGTTTTCAGTAGGGCTGCCTAGCTACTCAATACCTTTAAGCAGCAGCTTTCCTCCTTGGGGATTTGAAGGGGAAGCTGTGGACACAGATTCTCCCCTTAGCCGCCCTTTTCCTAAACCTGGTGCCGGTTCTTATTTTCAGAAGCTGGAATTGCAGTGAATAGTCAAGTTCATGTAGAACAACACTTTTTACATTTAGCTAGATTAAAGACAGTCTCACCACATGTTTGTTTAAACATAACTTTGCTGCCATTTGTCACACATGAGGTATCCTTGCAGTTTTCCACTTTTGTGTTTTAACTCCAGGATCAATTATCTGAAATTAGATCTTGCATGTAAATGTCCTGCTATACTTTATTTTTTTTTTAATTAGGATCATTTTGGCACTTTTGTTTTCTTTCTTTTTTTTGGTAAGCACATAGGCCACTTTTCTGCTCGAATTTTGCTTTTGTTGTGAAGCGCTAGCAACAGAATGACCAGAACTCCAGACTGATTGAAATTTAGAGAGCCTTTATTGACTGGCCAGTGCCCGTTCCTCCACTTGGGAAGCCCAAGAGAGAAGCGGCCCCAACCATCTGCAGAATCCAATATATAAAGGGGACAACTACATTTGTGTTCAGGTTCCCATAGCAAGCAAAGCCAAGTTACAAAAGCTAATTGCGTAGTTTTAGCCAAGCTATTCATCATCCTCCTGTTATTCATTTTCTGGGTAACTTAAAGATAAGGACTATTCTTAATTTTGATCTGTTTGTTCTTTGTGGGCCGTTGCTCAGGTGTGGGAGCTCAGTTCCTAGAAACTTTGTACACAGGCTGTCAAGCTGCTGAGGTGGCTAGGTAATTAAGCAGGCCTAAAAATTTTCCAACTCTGTAACACTTTCAGGCTTAAACTCAGAAGTAATAGTTTTGTCTTTATCTTTAAAATCCTCACCTGAGGGGATATATATATATATATATATAATCATTTTTTATATTTGGAGAGAAAGGAAGGGGGAGAGAGAGAAACAGCAATGTGAGTGAGAAATATCGGTTGCCTTCCTTATATTTCAAACCACTTATGGAACCCACAAACTAGGTGTGTACACTGACCAGTAATCAAACCTGCACCCTTTTGGTGCACAGGAGGAGGATCCAAACAACTGAGCCACCTGGCCAGGGCCTATCTTCATCTTTAAGTGTTTAAGAAGATTCCAATGGGTAAACATGTTTCTACATTCCTGCATTGTTAGCCTGAGAAACTTCACATTCAGATGGGTTTCTGTCTGTTAATATAATGCTTTTATTTCTCTCAGATATATCTGATGGTTTCAAAATGCATTTCTAAACCCTGTGTGATTCCTTTAAATTTGAACTGAATTTTTTCATAACTTAAACTTTTTCTTTTAGAGTAACAGCTAGAAAATAGGCAAGTAAATGTCTTTAGCAAACTTGGAAATTCACCAGAAAAATGACTTTCTTTGTGAAACACCAAAGGAATCTTACTGGGAAATAAAATAACCTTTGCTACTTTTATAGGGACCATTTCAGCCTTTGTCTATTTTATTTCATTTAATCACCAACACCCTTTACTTTTTATAGAAGACATTTTTTTTTTGTTGTTGTTGCTGCCTTTAAGTTTACAGTCCAAATCACCTTCCTTTCCCATTCTGGCTTTTAAATTTCATGGAGCTGGACAGTAAAGTTTTAATGGACTATAACATCAGAGAAAGGGAATTTCAGATATGAATGTTTTCCTGAGAAAATGACCATATAAAACCCACTGCTGAAATCTGAGGACTGTTTGCTTTTGGTGGGTGGTCATGGGAAATTCAGTTAACTCCTAAATACAGAAAAATATTAATTTATAATACATAGAGCCAGCAGTAGCCAGTTTGGTTATGAACTTTTTTAAGGTAGATGTTTTAAGCTAATAGCTATAGATGGCACACTGATTGATACTATGGCTAGAATTCTGGGCTCCATTTTGTCCCTAAAATACTTCAAGTGAAAATTATTTAATTGGAAACTTCTATTTGTCTACGTAAATAGCAAGTAAACTCTAGAACTCTACGTTGTGTAGCTTCATAGGAGGTCTGTAAGAAGAGTACTTATCTCTAACTCCCTGTATTTGTCACCATGTCCCAGCTAACTATGAAGAAATAGTGTTTCTTGGCCCTATTGATATTTTGAGCCAGATAATTATATATTGTAGGTGCTGTCCTGTCATTGTACTTGGTTTAGCAGCTACCTTGGCCTCTACCTACTAGATGCCAAGAGTACACTTTTCCAAGTGTAAGAACGAAAAAGGTCTCAAAATGAAAATTGGCCAAATGTCTCCAGAAGGGTTGAAAACCACTGGATTAGACAAATGTGTATGTGAGGCAATGTTGCATTATAGTGTTATTGGAATGGTAATAGCAACTCTTTTTTTTATTAATAAATCTTTATTGTTCAGATTATTACAGTTGTTCCTCTTTTTTCTCCCCATAGCTCCCCTCCATCCAGTTCCCACCCTGCCCCATGCCCTTACACCCCCCACTGTCCTCGTCCATAGGTATACGATTTTTGTCCAGTCTCTTCCCTTACCCCCCACAACCCCTTCCCCTTGAGAATTGTCAGTCCACTCCCTTTCTATGCCCCTGATTTTATTATATTCACCGGTTTATTCTGTTCATCGGATTTTTTTAGTCACTTGATTTTTAGATTCACTTATTGATAGATATGTATTTGTTCAAAATTTTTATCTTTACCTTTTTCTTCTTCTTACCCTTCTTAAAGAATACCCTTCAGCATTTCATATAATACTGGTTTGGTGGTGATAAGGTCCTTTAGCTTTTTCTTCTCTGTGAAGCTCTTTATCTGCCCTTCAATTCTAAATGACAGCTTTGCTGGGTAGAGTAATCTTGGTTGTAGGTTCTTGCTATACATCACTTTGAGTATTACTTGCCACTCCCTTCTAGCCTGCATAGTTTCTGTTGAGAAATCAGCTGACAGTCGTATGGGTACCCCCTTGTAGGTAACTAACTGTTTTTCTCTTGCTGCTTTTAAGATTCGCTCTTTGTCTTTTGCCCTTGGCATTTTAATTATGATGTGTCTTGGTGTGGTCCTCTTTGGATTCCTCTTGTTTAGGGTTTTCTGTGCTTCCTGGACTTGTAAGTCTATTTCTTTCACCAGGTAGGGGAAGTTTTCTGTCATTATTTCTTCAAATAGGTTTTCAATATCTTGCTCTCTCTCTTCTTCTGGCACCCCCATAATTTGGATATTGGTACACTTGAAGTTGTCCCAGAGGCTCCTTACACTATCTTCATATTTTTGGATTCTTTTTTTCTTTTCCAGTTGGGTGTTTTTTGCTTCTTCATATTTCAAATCTTTGACCTGATTCTTGGGATCCTCTAGTCTGCTGTTGTGTCTCTGTATATTATTCTTTATTTCAGTCAGTGTAGGCTTAATTTCTAGTTGCTCCTTTTTCTTATCCTTGAGGGTCTCACTAAATTTTTCAGAAATTTCTAGAGGATTCTTGGGTAACCTTATAACCGTGGTTTTGAACTCTATATCCAGTAGTTTGCTTTCCTCCATTTCTTTCATTTTTGACATGTTTCTTTGTCTCTGCATTTTGGCTGCTTCACTGTGTTGATAGAGTGGCTTTGTGTGCTAGGTGTCCTATAGGGCCCAGTGGCTCAGCCTCCCTAATTACCTGAGGTTGACACTCTTGGTGAACCCCTTTGTGGGCTGTGTGCAGTCTTATAGTTAAGTCTTGATTGCTGTTGGTATCACTGGGAGGAATTCACCTCCAGGCCAATTGGCTGTGGGTACCAGCTGTGTCTAAAACGGGAGAACTTCTGTGCTGGAGACAGCCTTATGGAGCAGGTCCTGCTTCAGTGGGGCTTTGGTGGTCACTGAGTCTGCCCCTTGAGTGTGTCTTTTATGGATGTGAAGAATTTTACTCTGGTATCATCTCACTCTGTCCACTGGGTGCACTGGCTCTTGTATCTCCAAGGAGGTGCAACGTCAGCCACCCAGCAGGAGCTACAGAGAGATCTGCAGATTCCTCCTCTTTGTTTGGGGTTTGGAAGTGCCCAGATGAGGCCCAGCTGTGAAGCCATGCAGGCTGCTGTCGAGCGTTAGGCCTTCTTTTGGAAGCTCTGGGGCTCTTTGACCCAGCAGCTGTTTGTTAGGTTTTAGATTGCAAAATAACAGACCACTCATATGCAAAAGCCTCTGCTCACAGCTTGGGTAGGGTTGTAAATTGGGTGGTACAGGGTCTCAGGGAATCATCAAGGGGGAACAAACTGCAATAGCTGCCTCTGCTCTGCTTCTGAGAGGTTCCTGGGTCTCTGTGTCCTGCAGCCCTGTGCAGGAACAATGATCACTGCAAGCACCTCTGTGAGAAAACTGCCCTCGCAGTCCAGTTTCTCCCGTATGAGTCTGGGTCCCCAGAGTCTCGCCTGGAACTGGGGTTCAGAGCAATCGGGAGCTTGTATCTCTCTCCTGATTGAAAAAGACAACAGCATATCTAGTTGCCAGCCCATTTCCATGTGCGCCTCTGTATCTCCGCACTTCCGTGCCTCCGTACCTCTGCAATTCCGCACCTCCACACCTCCTACCAGTTTCAATGCACTTTTTTTTTTAATGTCTATTTAGGTCATTTGCCCATTTTTTAAAAATATATTTTATTGATTTTTTTACAGAGAGGATGGGAGATAGAGAGTTAGAAACATTGATGAGAGAGAAACATTGATCAGCCGCCTCCTGCAAATCTCCTACTGGAAATGTGCCTGCAACCCAGGTACATGCCCTTGACCGGAATCGAACCTGGGACCCTTCAGTCCGCAGGCCGACACTCTATCCACTGAGCCAAATCGGTTTCGGCGAGTTTCAATGCACTTTTCTCTTTCCTTCTATTTTTAGAACTTCCACTCAGCCAGCCTTCCCATGGTTCTGGATGATATCTGTTTTGTCTATTAGTTGTGGTTTTGATGTGGTTGTGCAAGGCAGCAAGTACAATTGTGTGCTTACGCTGCCATCTTGGTTTCTCCAATAGTAACTCTTTTTTGAAAGCAAACATTTATTGTGAATTTCCACTGAAGTTGAGAATGTACTAGTCAAATCACATTAATCAGAATTTGAAATAAAGTTTTTCCTAGCTTTGATGCTGTGTATTGACCAAAGTTAAGAACACTGCTTTTTGTTATATTTACTGAGCATTCTGCTGTGTGCTATTTTTATTCCTTTTTGGTTGTCACTTTGTTATTACGATGGAAATAATCTAAATAAGATTCTGGTTAAAAACAATCATTTTTCTCCTAGATTTATTTATGGAAGTTTACCTTAAAATTATATACCCATGGACCTCCCTGGTCATAGGGATGACTGGCAGCCATTTCTATTTGTTCTGCCCTGGTGATTCCCTGAGACCCCACCCCATCCAATTTTCAGCCCCACCTTACCTGTGTACAGCTTTTGCATATGAATGGCCTGTCCCTCCTCAGGCTTCAGACTGTGTTAAAATCGCTCAAACAAGCTGCAACTGGGTTATGGAGTCCCAAACCTATCAATAAAAGGCCCAGGACCTGGCACTAGTACCAGCCTGCCTTGCTTCATAGGTAGGCCTTGCCTGGGAACTTCCAAACCCAATACAAAAAGGAGGAATCTGTGGATCTCTCTGTAGCTCCTGCTAGGTGGCTCCAGGCAGTGGCTGATTTTGCACTTCCCCAGAGACCCAAGAGCCAATGCACCCAGTGGTCAGTGTCAGACCATACTAGATTATAGCTCTACACATCCAAGTGACACACTCAAGGGGCAGACTCAGTGAGCACCAAAGCCCCACTGAAGCAAGTGCTTCTCCATAGGGGTGTCTCCTGCACAGCAGCTCTCCCACTGTAGTTGCAGCTGGTACCCACAGCCAATTGGCCTGGAGGTCAATTCCTCCCAGTGACATCAACAGCAATCAAGTCTCAACTACAATAAGACTGTGCATGCAACCCACAGACGGGTGCACCAAGAGTGTCCACCTCAGGTGATTGGGGAGGCTGAGCCACTGGGCCCTATAGGAACCTACTACACAAAGCCACTCTATCAATTCAAGGAGACCTAGCAACTCTACCCAGTACATAGAAACAAACACAGGGATGCAGCCAAAATGTGGAAACAAAGAAACATGTCACAAATGAAAGAAATGGAAGAAAGCAAACTACTGGATATAGAGTTCAAAACCACTGTTATAAAGTTACTCAAGAATCTTCTTGAGACCTCCAAGGGACTTTAGTGAGCCTACACTGATTGGAATAAAGAATAATTTACGGGTATTCAACTATAGAGTAGAGGATTCTGAGAATCAAATCAATGATTTGAAATATGAGGAAGCAAAAATCACCTAATCAGAACAGCAAAATGGAAAAAGAATAAAAAAATAATGAAGAAAGTGTAAGTTTGACATGCTTGATGTGAGGAGCTTCTGGGACAAATTCAAGCATACCAACATTCACATCATGGGGGTGCCAGAAGAAGAGCAAGATATTGAAAACCCATTTGAAGAAATAATGAGAGAAAACTTTCCTGATATGGGGAAGAAAAAATTACAGAGAGTCCCAAGCAAGATGAATCACAAAAGACCCACACCAAGACATATCACAATTACAATGGAAAATGTTCATGAATTTTTTTTTCCCTGGTGAAAAAAATAGACTTACCAGTCTAGGAAGCATAGAGAGTCCCAAATAAGAGGAACCCAAGAGGCCCACATCAAGACATATCATAATTAAAATGCTAAGGGCTGAAGACAAAGAGAGAATTTTAAATGCAGCAAGAGAAAAGCAGTTAGTTACCTACTAGGGAGCACCCATATGACTCAGCAGATTTCTCAATAGAAACTAAGCAGGCCAAAAGGGAGTGGCAAGAAATATTCAAAGTGACGAATAGCAAGGACCTACATCCAAGATTACTTTACCCAGCAAAGCTATCATTTAGAATTGAAGGTCAGATAAAGAGCTCCATAGACAAGATAAAGGTAAAGGAGTTCATTACCACCAACTTAGTATTACATGAAATGTTGAAGGTAATTCTTTAAGAAGTGGAAGAAGAAGAAGAAGAAGAAAAAGATAAAAAATATAAACAATAAAAAGGCAATAAATACATATCTATCAACAATTGAATGTAAAAATAAACAAATAAGAAATCTAATGAACAGAATAAACTGGTAAATAATATAGAATCAGAGGCATGGAGATGGAACAGACTGACGAATCTCAGAGGGAGGCAGAGCGGGAAGAGATTAAACAAAGATGGTTATGCAAGTATGCATTACCTATGGACACAGACAATAGGGTGGCAAAAGCCTGAGGTGGGGCGGGAACCCCAGGAGGAGGGGAGCAGTGGGGGGGGAGGCCATCTGTAATACTCTCAACAATAAAGATTTACAAATAAATTATATCCCCATGGAAGCTTTTGTGGAAATACCCTCCAAATGAGTGTCAAAAATTTGAGTTCATACCTTCCTTTATCTTTCCTGCACTTTTTTTTTTACCTTCTAGATGAGAGGAGAGGAATGAATGCATTCTTGCCAGGGATTTGCAACCAGGTCTCCAGACCTGGATCAGAATTTTAAAAAAAATTTTGATACAAGTTTTAATACAAGTAGAAATCTTCCCAAAGGTCATGAATTAGTTTTCATTAGAGGCTTAAAGTAATTTTTTAAAAAAATTCAGGCAAATAAGCTTTGATTTAACATTAAAATATTTAACTGTCCTGTCAAGGCACCATTTTACATTTCAACCACATTGCTTTTTTATTCAATCTGAGAATTTCTGCCTTTTTTTATTATTAATTCTCGCTTGAGGATATATTTATTGATTTTAGAGAGAAGGAGGGAGAGAGAGAGAAAAAAAATTGATGTGAGAAACATCAATCAATTGCCTCCCGTTTGCACCCTGACCAGGTACCAAACCCACAATTTAGGTATGTGCCTTGACTGGGAATCGAACCCACAACCTTTTGGTGTACAGGATGATGCTCCAACCGACTGAGTCACTTGGCCAGGGCAAATTTCTGCCTTTTTTAAAGCAAGATTCAGACTGTTTGGGGATTGCTCCTTCTGAAGGTCTTGCATGTCCCTTTCTTCCTTGGCCTCAGATAATCCTCACATATGAGCATTGTGGATCTGAATTTTTTTTGTGTTTCCTAAGGCATCTTGACTTTCATAATCTAGATTTGGCAGAAATCAAGTTTTGGGCAAAAATGGAGGAAATGGTTTCAGATATTTCTGTCAAGACCAGTATTTTTCAACCATGTTCATTTATAAACTCTTTAAATTACTCAGGCACATTCAAGGAGGAAAGGAGAGGTTTGTCTCTAACTGCTGATGTAAACCGGCAATTAATGGGGTGGAGAGGGAAAGAACAAGGTCCCAGAGAAACCTCTGGAAGGAAGAGAGTGAAGCTATTCTCTGTGCACTTTCTGTGTCTTGGGCTCCAGCCACATACAACTCATCATTCTTAAACATACTGTGCCATTTATTTCATACTATAGAAATAGACATATCACACAGCTCTAGACAACGTGAGAATAGGAAATAAAAATGAAAATGAGATACACTTTTATACCCATCACATTGGCTAAAGTATTTTAAAATGTACTCTGATGACATATTATGTGTTGTAAAGATGAAAACTCTCAGACTGTTGAAAGAACAACATCTTTGGAGAATAAATTAGTAATGTCTAGTGACATTGAGAATCCTCATGTCCTACAGTCCTATAGTATAGTCAGCCCTCTGTATCTATGGGTTCTATATCTGAGGGTACCACATCCTCAGAATCAACTGGATGTGGACTGAAAACAGTCTTTTCAACCCGCAGGTGGGAATCCATGGACTGCATACATTGTGTGTGTGTGTGTGTGTGTGTGTGTGTGTGTGTGTGTGTGTTTAGAAGAGACTGTGATTTTATTTTCAAATTTTTGGAAATAGTTTGCATACATTGTTGTACACCATTTTATGTAAGGGATTTAAGTATTCATGAATTGTGGTATCTGTATGACTGTACTCTCAAATTTCTGTCTGCCTGTTTTGTTTTTTTACCCTGGTGGTCAGTGCACATCATAGTGACCTGTTGTTCTGGTCGTTTCGCCATAATGGGCACTTAGACTTTTATTATATAGATTCTTTTTTGTTTAATGTCTTCAGTGTATTCACATAGCCCTGCAACTCTTCTCCCCACTGACCACTGTCGAGGAGAGGAGAGGAGAGGAGAGGAGAGGAGAGGAGAGGAGAGGAGAGGAACATCCATGTGAGAGAGACACACCAACCAGTTGTCTCCCACACATGCTCCAACTGAGGCTGGGGATTGAACCAGCAACTCAAGTACTAGTCCCCCTCCCCCACATTGGGAATCAAACCCACAGCCCCCCAGTGCACAGGCCGAGGATCTAACCACTAAGCAATGCTGTTCAGGGCTGTGTCTTCCTGTTCTTGAAATTCTATTTATTGTTTAAATTTAGCTCCTAGAAATTCTTCCTCTTACTGTCTTTTGTTTGGCTCTCTTTTGAACTTAATGCAGTTGGTTTATACAAATCATACATGCTTTGTGTGATAGATGTTTATGCTTACTAAATTATAAATTCTTTGAAGTAAGGGCTGAGTCTTATTCATCTTTATGCTCTTCATAGTACTTCCCTATTTTTTAAACATAGAGAAGATTCTCAATTTATGTTTGTTGTTTTTAGTCCACTCAGAGAATTATAAAAAGTGGCATGCAGTCAGTGAGATTGATAGCTGCTCCTTTTCCCAGGATTTAATTAAATTCACTGAGCTTCCTTTCTCTACCTGGGGCCATACACTACACTATCATAGTCTCACATTTTACCAGTGAATCATCAGGCAAGGCCTTGTTTCTGAATTGTGGTGGGCAGTTCTTCTCCATATGTTATATTTTTTGCTCCTTCAGAAATGCATTCATTGGTTGGATACCATGATCCTCTTTTTATACATGGTGAAGTGGAGATTTGGAATGGTTATATAACTTACAGAAGATCACATAGCTGCAAAGCTACATGAGAGGGGCATGTGCCCTTTCTTCAGTCCGTGCTCCATGTCTTTCTTGACCTGTTTATTGCTCTGTTGGACTTTGGGACCTGTGGGCATTAGAGACCTAAAGAAGCAAAGGAACTCGTTGCTAAAAGAAAAGGCACATACCTTGTAGGTTTACATTATGGAGGGATAGGTAAAAAATTAAGGCAAACTGTGACCTAGGTCAGGTTGATAAACTATGGACCAAGGGCCAAATCCCATGGGACAGATATGGCTACTTGTTTAAATATGGTTGGTGAGTTAATAATGGTTTTTACATTTTCAATGGTTGAAAAATAGCAAAGGAAAACTAATGTATTGTTCCATGTGAAAATAATGAAATTCAATTTTCAGGGTCCATAAAGTTTTATTAGCTCACAGCCACAGTTATCCATTTACATATTGTCTGTGATTGCTTTGGTGCTAAGTGAAGAGTTGATTAGTTATAGAGACTATATGACCTTCTGCCCTGTAGACAAAAGTTGTGCCAACTTGTGCCTTAGAAGGTGACAGTCCCACTTAAGCTGTGGCTTATGCAGATCTTCTGCTCCCTTGGAAATAGCTGGACTCTGGACAGTCGCTGTGGGCTCTGGGTATTTGCGAGGCCTGTTATTTATTTTTTAAAGATTAAGGTGCACAACCTGATTATTTGATTTACATATAGTGTGGAAATGATTACCACATTAGATTCAGTTAACATCTATGTTCTCATATAGATATATTAAAAGGAAAAGGAAACCATTTTCTTTATCGATGAGAGCTCTTAGGATTAGTTCTCTAAACATCTTTTCTATATAGCGCATAGCAGTGTTAACTGTAGTTAGTCCTAGTACTTATTTATCTTATGACTGGACATTTATACCTTTTGGAGAGGACTGTTTTTCATTTTAGACCTTTGAATTCAAACATAGAACTTCTCTGTTATACCATTTTAAACATGGCACTTGATGCTAACTAGACAAGTACTTTGGTGTAAATAGTGTACTTATGATCAGAAACAAATGAAACACTATGATGGCTATTTGGAAAGGAGATGCATATTTCTTTAGAGCATGTGTGTGTTTTTTAGAAATTTGGTCTAGAAACTTGGTTATAAATTTGTGGCTAGGTTCCTGGCAGGAAATGATTAACACATTTATCAACGAGTATTTTTATTATTCAACCGTTGCTATAAATTAGGCTAAGCTGAGAAATTGGTTGCTTTAACAGTGAAATATATTTTTCTGTTTTACTAGCTTTTTGTGTACACTATGTGCTTACCTCACTAAACTAAACTGAAATGATCGAACCAATAATCAGAGCTATTGAGATTTTAGTTAACCAAGAAATAGATATCCAGAGTAGTAGAATGGTAAACAGTGTTATGATTTGTTGTCCTTATACTACTTACTAGCCAAGACCCATCTCTTGCCACTTGTGTTTTGTAATCATGCTACTGAAGATGGTCTAGGAGTACAGAACTGATTATTACCCTACTAGAGGCCTGGTGCACGAATTCATGCACCAGTGGGGTCTCTCGGCCTGGCCTGCGGGATCGGGCCAAAACTGGCTCTCCAACATCCCCCGAGGGGTTCAGGATTGTGAGAGGGTGCAGGCCAGGCCAATGGACCCCACCGGTGCATGATTGGAGCTGAAGAGGGATGCAGGAGGTTGGCCAGCCTGGGAGGGACTGCAGGAAGGCTCCAGGTTGTGTCCGGCCCATCTCGCCCAGTCCCTATTGGCTGAACCCCCGCAGCAAGCTAAAATACTGGTTGGAGCATCTGCCCCCTGGTGGTCAGTGCACATCATAGCTACTGGTCAACTGGTTGACTATCTGCCCCTTGGTGTTCAGTGCACATCAGAGCGAGCGGTTGAGTGACCTTAGCATATCATTAGCATATTGCACTTTGATTGGTTGAACGGCTGATGGGTTGACCAGAAACTTAGCATATTAGGCTTTTATTATATAGGATTAACTGTGTCACTAGAATGCCCCTTTAAAAAATAGTGTTTATAATTTAAAAATACAGTAACTTCAAATAACTTTAAAAAATATGTTTTTATTTTTTTTAGAGAGAGGGGAAGGGAGAAATATAGAGATAGAAACATCTATGAGAGAGAAACATCTATGCGCTGCCTCCTGCACTCCCCCCACTGGTGATCAAGCCTGCAACCCAAGCATGTGCCCTGACTGGGAATTGAACTTGGTTCATAGGTTGACACTCAACCTCTGAGCCATCCTGGTCAGGTTCAAATCCCTTTTTATGTTTCCTACTCAGAGTAACTTTAAAACAAAATTCAAACAGCAGAGGTATGTTCAAACAACTAACGTGGAAGACTAAATGGTGAGGAAAAGTGTTCGTAACAAACGTTGAGTTTCTAAAGTGGGCCAAAGTTGAAATTAAATTTCATTTGTGAGATTAATTGTCATGTTGATTTTACTATTTCTTTTATTTTGGATGCATAAGACATCCTAGTGTTTATTACATTAATTGTTCATCTGTGCATTTTCTTTATGGTTACATTCTCAAACATTTAAAAGGAATTGTATTAATTTTCTAGTTACTACTATTATGTAATTATTATTATTATTTAATCCTCACCCAAGGATATGTTTAGAGAGGGGAAGGGAGGGAAAGGAATATTGATGTGAGAGAGAAACATCGATTAGTTGCCTTTCCTATGCACCCCAATCCAGGATCAAACCAACAACCTGGGTATGTGCCCTGACTGGATATCGAACCTGCAACCTTTTAGTGCATGGGGTGATGCTCAACCAACTGAGCCACCAAGCCAGAGCAACTTACTACTAATCCTATATAATAAAGAGGTAATATGCAGATTAACCCTCATGCCCACATAAGATGGCTGCCTACAATCAGGCCGGCACGGGGGTTAGTGAGGGACAACCAAACAACTGAACAAGCAAGCTGCATGGGTGACCAGGCTGGCAAGGGGGTTAGTGAGGGACAACCAAATAACTGAACAAGCAGGCTGCATGGGCAACCAGGCTGGGAGGAGGGTGCAGTTGGGGGTGACCAGGCTGGGGGGGGGGCAGTTAGGAGCGATTAGGCTGGCAGGGGCTGGGGGTAGTTGGAGGCGACCTGACCGGCAGCAGGAGGCAGTTAGATTGACTGGGAATCGAACCTGTCACCCTCTGGTGCGCAGGCTGATGCTCTAACCAATGAGCCATGCCGGCCAGGGCTCTAGTATGTTATAAAGTTTTTTCCAAAGACAAAGAGGGTTTTCCTTTTATTTAAAAGCTGTGGTTTGCTCCTCTGTGCTATGACACCCATTTGGTAAAGGTTCTGTGGCACAATGGGACTTTCAAACACATGCACTTTATTGTTCTCACCATCACCCCCAGTCAGCCCCAGACATTAAAGGGCACTAAAGTGATTTAGAAAAGGCATTTTGCCACACAGCCTCACACTCTGCAGGCACAACAGCAAGTGGAAGAAGTTTGTGGAATCCTGGTAGTCTTGGGTTTCTTTTTTTAAATATATTTTTAATGATTACATAGAGGAAGGGAGAGGGAGAAAGAGACAGAAACATCAACGGTGAGAGCATCACCTATTGGCTGCCTCAATTATGACCCTCCTGGGGATTGAGCCCGAAACCCAGGCATATGCCCTGACCAGGAATCAAACCGTGACCTCCTGGTTCATAGGTTGATGTTCAGCCACTGAGTCATGCTGGTTGGGCAGTCTTGGGTTTCTAATTCTGGGATATTGTTCAGGTAAAGTCCCAGAAGCTATACTTCTTAATTTAAGTGACCACTGAGTCCCAACACAGAGCCCATGTCCCATCAGCCCACTGACTAGTCTGTTTTGCTGTTTTGAAGCCAAACTTTCATGGGTCCTTAGGGTGTTAATTACTTACAGGTGCAGTACACCGAGCTAAGAAGGGAGCCAGTTATTTTTAGATATTTTAAATGTATTCTCTAGCTTTTTTCTTTCTTTTTTTTTTTTTTTAAGTTTTCACCAGAGGAGTGCAGATATTTTATTTTCTCCATTTTTAGAGAGTGGAGGGAGGGTGGAGGAGGAGAGAGAGAGCAAAGAGAAGGATCCATGTGAGAGAGAAACATGGATTGGTTGCCCCCTCCACCACACCGCGACTGGGGGGCAAGGATCAAACCTGCAACCCAGGTATGTGCTCTTGACTGGGAATCGAACCTGTCACCCTCTGGTGCTCAGGCTGATGCTCTAACCAATGAGCCATGCAGACCAGGGCTCTGCTTTTTAAACATGTAATCATATTTTTTTTTCTGATTCTAGTAGTATACTAAACACCAGCACTATTTTAGCATCTAAAAAAAATCAGCAAATACAGAATTTAAATAATTTCTTAAAACAAAGAAACTGGCTAACAGTTTAGAGGCAGACTAAAATGCCCTCCCTAATGCCTTCCCTGGGGAAGTCTTAAAGAGCTGTTAAGATGAGGGCAAACTGGCCCTTTGATGGAATTTTCCAGTAATGCCCAAGCCAGCTGTGAGGCCCCTTGTCTTCAGAGGTTTTCAGAGGTCTTCTCTCTCCATCTCTAGCCTTGCTGGGTCACTTCTGGCCTTGAGCTGGCACCACAGCTCTGACCAGAGTGCCCTGCCAGTCCAGACTCTCTGAAATTCCTGTCAGCCATGTCTCGAGAAGGACAATTCTCCTTTTCTTCTTAGTTTAGTTTAAACAGGGTTGGAATTTTTTAAACAGTGACTTTACTAAGTAACCAAGGGCAAAACAAAAACCCTGAAACTGGAAAACCACCAAAGCAAAGAAATGAACAGACTTACAAAGTAGAGACTCAGAATTCTGCTCTACTCTGACTCTAGCTGAGACCTGCATACCTAGCATCCTAGGGGCTCATAGGCTCTGTGTCCTCGCTCAGCTTTTCATTCTCCACTCTTTCATACCACTCGTTACTTCTTATTACTTTATTTTACACACAGCTCTTTCTTCTCCAGGCTTGGAGTGCAGGAAGTCCATGGGTAGATAGGTGTTAATAAGTCATGAAATAATAAAAATATATATATATTTGGTCTCTGCCCCGGTTCCTGCTAATATTTGGTGTTTGACTTTGGTTCCTGACACAAGGCTCTTGGGTGATAGTAGAATCTTTTGTTCTAATGAAACAGCTTTTGGTGGGCTCTGGGATAGGGGCTGGTTACTAGAAAGACAAAGCCAAGATTAGAAGCTTAGAACTGTCAGTCCTACCCACCACCTTCTGAAGCGGGAAAGGGGTTAGAAAATAAGTAAATAATCATTCATGCCTACATGATGAAGCCTCTATACAAATCTCTGAAGTACGGGATTTGTAGAGCTTCTGGGTTGGTGATGCATTTATAATCTAGGAGGGTGGTGCACCCCAAATCCATGGGATCCTTCCTGACCTTACTCTATGTATCTCTTTATCAAGCTATTCACTTGTATCTTTTAAAATACTGTTTGTAGCCCTAGCTGGTTTGGCTCAGCAGATAGAGCATTGGCCTGTGGACCAAAGGGTCCTGGGTTTGATTCCAGTCAAGGGCATGTACCTTGGTTGTAAGCTCCGCTCCGGCCTGGGCCCTGGTCAGGGAATTAATTAATTAATTAATTAAATTAAATACTCTAGCAATAGTGAGTAAACTTTTCCTAGGTTCTATGAGCCACTCTAGCCAGTTATTGAACCTAGGTGGGTGGGGGTCTTGGGAACCTCTGATTTGTAACCAAGTCATACAGGAGTTGTGGATAACAGGGACCTACTACTTGTGATTGGCATCTGAAGCGGGAGCAGTTTTTTTTTAAAATATATTTTATTGATTTTTACAGAGAGGAAGGGAGAGGGATAGAGAGAAACATCGATGAGAGAGAGAAACATCGATCAGCTGCCTCCTGCACACCCTCTACTGGGGATGTTCCCGCAACCAAGGTACATGCCCTGACCAAAATCGAACCTGGGACCCTTCAGTCCGCAGGCTGACGCTCTATCCACAGAGCCAAACCGGTTACGGCGGGAGCTGTTTTATAGTATTAATACTTTAGTCTGTGGGGTGTGCAATAATTCTGGTTGAATTGAATTGAATTGAATTGAATTACAGGACACCCAGTTGGTGTGGGAGAATTGGTCAATGTGGGGAAAAAGCCATATCTCTTGTCAGAAGTGTTGTGTGTAAGTAATGCAGGAGAAACAGTTTTTCCTAGACATGGGGAAGCTAGACATTTTTATACTTTCATAGGACATATCAGCATAACCGTAGCCAGTACCAGGGGTGGGGAAAGTCTGGCCCGTAGGCCGAATAAGGACAATGAAATAATTTTGTCTGCCAAGCATTAGGGGTGAATTAATTAAATGTTTGACCAAATATAGCAGGCTAATTTTAAGTTGATAATTTCATATGGCCCACAAATGATGTTATAAATATCCAAATGACCCTTGACAGAAAAAAGGTTCCCACCCCTGATTAGACAGTCTGCTTTTTTGATAGGTGAAAGTTTTTATGTATTTTTGTCTGTAAGTCTTTTGGTATTGCTTTAATTATTTGTTTTGAGTAATTTACATTTGCTAACATGAACTGACAAACTTGCATAAATCTACATTTATTTAATTAACTAAACTTCAAAAATTCTCCCAGAATCCATTTTCTCTCTAGAAGTAACTGTCTTAACTTCTTTTTTAAAAAAAATAATAATTCCCCCCCTTTTTATTCCTTAGAATAGTTTACAGTATAAACATGTTTTCATGTTATAAAAGCTTAACTCATAAGTTTACGGTAAGGATAAAGAAAAGTATGCTTTAGAAGATAAGTACTCATCCCATAATTATTATGAAACATGAAAACTTTCTATTTTTCCTTAGCTGTCAGAAAACTGAAAGCTGTCTTAGTGTTCAGTTACAGAGATGTTGCTTCCAAATTTCATAATACAGTTATTCATCTCGTAACCTTTATCATTTAACAATATATTGTGAATATTTGTAGGTATTACTATACATGACATTTAATGACTGCTAAGTATTCTTCCAAAGGATATACCACAATTTACTTACACATTGTTCTAATATAATATAGCAATGGGCATCTTTGTTTAGAGATGCAGTTAATTCCACAGGATAAATTTTAGAAGTGGGTTTGTTCCCGTAAAGGTGGTACCACCATATTCATTTTTTCTATAGAAAGTAGAGAAGTAAAAGAAATATCAGTAGAATATTGCTACTTTGACAAGAACACTAAGCTACAGTTGTATACATTTAGTAGTTTCTGGGAAAGGTCAGTTGGTTGACAGTTGAGCTGTCCTTGAAAAGTCATTTGGCAGTTCTGATTTCCCATCTGCTTTCTGATCACAT